ATACCCTAAATTTACAAGCTAAATTTAAGACTAAATTAGCATCCATAAGCATGACTTTTCCCGTTTCTTTTGAACAGTTTGACCTAAAATATTCTGTTGCATATAGACTATCATAAATATATTCTACAAAATATTAATCATTTTGGATATTCTTGGTTCTTAAACCACAAAAATATTTCATTTCACACACTTTCCACGTCAACGATTTGTATTTGTTTGTTTATGTGCTTAGTGTATATATTACTTATACTTGTTTGCTTACTTCAAAATATGAGTAATTTGGGAGTTCTTAAAGCACAGAAAATATTTTATTTTAACACAACACTTACTGTGTTTGTTTGTTTTCAACAAAATATAAGTACATTTGGATATTCCTGATTCTTAAACCACAGCAAATATTGCACTTTGACACAGCACTTTCCATGACAAAGACATTTTTTTGTTGGGTGGTTTATTTATAAAGCATATTAAACCACAACAAATGTTTCCATGTCACAATACAATACTTTCCATGTCAAATACGTTTCATTAATTTATTCATTCATTCATCCATTCATCAAACACAAGCAGATAATGGTTCCTGCTGCTGGAGTAGTATATAATCACTGCCTTACAGAGGCCACTATTTGCATGCATTGAGAAAATACAAGACCAACTTCAGTTGCAAACTAATTACTGGGCTTTGGGCGCCCTCGTGTGGAAAAAATCGTTTTAGCGCTCTGTTTACGGTTGCCAAGCAACAAGATTCGTCAAGAAAACGGAAGCGTTCTCATACTAGCAAACGTTTGCAAAAAATAAATAAATTAATACAATTTTGATAACACTTTAGTAAATATGGCAAACCCTAAAGAAAAAGACCCTGTGGACATAGTTCACCAGAATGTTATTCATGTCGAGACAATAATGAAGGAGCTGAGACACCAGAAGCTTTACACTGAGTTTAACATTAACCCAGTAGTACAGTATGTATGTCTCTGTGTTTGGCTAAATACGTAAAAGAGCCTCTTTGTTTGTTTGTTTTTTTTCAGTTTTTTCATTCTGACTGACAAGCCAATGTCCAACATCACCTACAGAAAAGAAGAGGAGGACCGTAAGTATTTCCACCACGTTTGATTTAATACAATTAATCGTTTCCGGCAAAATACCATACAACATTTGTTAAATCCACAAAATATGTTAAATCCATATGTTAAATGTTTTCATTTTTAATTCGTTC